ATGTTAAATAAAATTATCAAAACCAAATAGAATTGGGTACTTGCCTTAATAAAAAAAATCAATACTTACAAAAAATATTAAAAACGAATCACTCTCATTCTTTGATTTTATGAATAACTTAATTTTAGTATTTCTCCAGAAAATTTTTAAGAAATAAGTATTTTGTTTGATGCTGAAAAACGTGTCGTCACGATACACAATCTCGTACAAAATTCATAGAAAACTGTCGTTTTTGACAGTTCAAAAAAAGTATTGAATTTGACTTGTTGGCAATTACCCAATTAAATTTCCGTCCTATTACAGGTAAATGAACTGGCGATCCGCTCCTGCTTCGCACGGGTGATAATTCCCAACTTGCAATACTTAATTCCTAATCGTTCACTTTTTAGAACAACCATCACCTGACAATAATATAGAGGTAATATTCTTAAAGACGACGAAAAATAAAAAAAAATGTCGTCGTTCAACTGTGATCCTAATAAAAATAAATTTTATTTTATTGGAATTAATACTGTATTCAAATTGTAATCAATTAATTTATTTGTTTAACTTACCAGTCCATTACTCGTCCTCAAGTGATCTAATTGTTTGTAAAACATAATATAGCATGCGTATCTATTTACTCAGGCGTGAAATAATTCGAATACGTAATTAATTTACTTGAATATAGGTATACCTACTTAAACTAAAATAATAGCCACTTAGCTATACCTGTGACTTTTCTTATTATTTTTCGTGCAATAAGTATTAGACCTAAATAAAACAACTGAAACTGTCTTCGGAAGCCGCTGTACTCTTCATACGACCCAATCCTAATGCGTTTCCGACAATGAAATCTGACGCATTCTTCATACTTATCTCGGCTATCTCATTCGTAGCAGACCAGACTTCCTCTCTGAGTTGTGGGTATGTATAGTTGAATGAGTTTATAGTTAATAGTCCATCGTTCTCATAAAGATTTACATACAGTGCAGTGCTCTTTCAATCGAACCCTTAGCTTGCCCGACGACCCTACTGCTGACCCCAATCTGGTCAGAATTGGTTCATCCCTAACCTTAATCTCCAAACCCCCTAAAGATTGGCAACGACTATATTACTACTTACTTAGGTGTCCAGAAGCAACGATAATTGCTTACCATCAGTTGATCTGGTTGATCATTTGCCGACCTATCCTATAAAACGCATAGCAGTTGATGGAGTAGTTTTATTGATACGTTTGTTGAAAGAGGGAATTCGTTTTGATTCCTCGGTAAAACTAGTTTATCGGGTTTGTGACCTTATTTTGGCCCTAGTCCCTTGAAAGAAATTGCTGTATAAAATTAGCCCCTGAAGTGTCATGCGCTATGAGCTCTTGCTCCACTGTAATTTATATTTATAGAATTAGTAGGTATATATGTAGTTATGTATATTACTTATAAATACTATTTTTCAATGTATGTACACATTTTATATGTGAATGGAGAATTTTTAGAGCAATAAATATAACCTCACCCTCACCTCACCTCACCAGTCATCAATACAAACAAAATCGAATTCGTGGAATAAGCCGGTAAACGAGTAGACGGATCACCTGATGGTAAGCTATCGACGTCGCCCATGGACACCAGGAACACCAGAGGCGTTACATTCTGCTCGGTCGTGGTATCACTTCGGTCGACCCGGCCCATGGGTCTCGCCCACTTAGATAATCACGACAACTGTTATTTTTTTATTTTGGATTAAAAGATGGACAAATAAATTAAGAGCACATTTATAAGATCAATTTATTTCATTTGACAAGTCGAGAGTCATATTGTCTCTGAGGATTTTAAAATAGACTAGTATAAATGAACAACAAAATGCGTTAGGTAAGAAAGAAATAGGAATGCAATAAATGTCTACATATTCCGTTATTTATAAGTTCGACTAGAATATTACTATCAATCGATTGTGATAGACAATACCAGTTGTACTGTCCAGTTGAACTTCGATTTACATGGATCAACTTAATAAGGCTACGAATGAACAATATAAAGAATAAATAATACAAAATATTAAGGTGATAAGTAGAAATAAATCATAATTTATTGTAGTCTTCTAGTATCAATTCTGCCCCTCTTTCTCCAACCATTCCAGTTGGAGCATTGGTATTACCACTGGTAAGTGTTGGCATTATACTAGCATCTATAACACGAAGGTTCTCAACTCCATGAACTCTCAACCGACTGTCTACTACTGACGTCTCAGGGTCTGGTCCCATCTGACATGTTCCTACCGGATGATATACGGTAAACACCATCTCTATACAAACACACTTCCAGTAATCTCTACTGTCTAATTCATAAACATCGCATGGCGGCCATTCCATTCTTCCCAAAAAGGCATTTATTGCTCTAAATTCCGAAGTCTTCAACACTTTTGTCAGCTTTTTGATTCCAGTTGCTGCTAATTCTAAGTCACTAGGGTCACTGAAATAGTTCGGGTCTATTATTGGATTGTCTCGTGGATTATTCGATTGTAAATAAATACTCCCTCTTGACTCAGGATGTAAAATATGAAATGTGAACATGTAAGTTGCATGTTTTTTGTTAAGTTCAATCAGTGGTTCCGTTACTTGGGTTTTGTACCGGAACCATGTGTTTAAAATTTGATCAGTAAAAGTACTATTTTTCCATAGCAAAGTAACATGACTTTGAAACTTGGGATAAGTGGCTTTTGAGTTGTCAGAGAAAAATGCTAGAGTATTTATTAGAGGGGTATGTGACAAATATCCTGAGCGATTGTGAAGATAGCGAATGACATCAAATTGCTGATCAGCTACACTCTGTTCTCCAGTTTCATCACCGAATATCAGGATGGGAATCATAACATGATCCTGCAGGTTTTGTCCCACCATTGGAGAATTAACCATAACTGGGATTTCCTTAGAAAGGAGATGTTCTTCTGGTCCAATACCAGACAGCATCAATAGCTTGGGAGAGCCTACAGAGCCTGCACTTACAATTACTTCCTTCGTAGCGTAAAATTTAAATGTTTCTGAATCCCGTTCTACCTCAACTCCGTAGACAGTTGAATCATCCTTAAATATCAATCTAGTTACCAAGCTGTTTTTCAAAATTTTTAGGTTTTTCCTACTAAGAATTGGGTTTAAATAAGCCTTATTGAAGCTTTGTCTTTCTCCAGAGGCGGCTGTGGCTCTTATGAGACCAGACCCTAATGCATTTGCGAGATTTAAATCTGGCACATTTTTAATACCTATTTTGTTCCAAACCGATAATATTTTCTTTGTAATATGTGGATAAGTAAAGTTAAATGAATTTATGGCTAATGGTCCGTCATGTCCATAATGTTCGCTAATATAAGGATTGTTCAACATGCTCATGTCTTGTAAACTTTCTGCTTTCTTAAAACACCGACGAACTTCTTCGACACTACATTCAGGATTACCAAGGTCAACCCAATTTTGATAGTCTTGGTCATTTCCTTGTATGTAAATCATACCGTTCATGTTACTACTTCCACCAATCATTTTTCCTCGTGGCCAGTTTATAGAACCATTTATGTTAGCTCCATTTGTTCTACCGTTAGGAACTGTCGAGTAATTCCAATCGAACCTTGAGCCATAAAACGACGTATGCAGGCCTGGAATCTAAAACATTTTATACATTAGATAAAGTATTAAGAAAATAAATAAAACATTATTTGTACTTGTAAATGTATTCTTCAAATGTTGAAATATTTCACAATTACTTACATCAGCTTCTACTGGAGCATCATCACCAGCCTCGATTAGTAAAACATTCCATTCTGGTACCGCACTCAATCGGTTTGCTAATACACTGCCAGCAGTTCCGGCTCCCACGATTATGAAGTCAAAGTTTTCTGCACCTATTATAACAAAGAAAACACCAACAACATGACCAATGCTTTTAATTTAGTACCAGCCCTTCTGGTTAGTGAGCAGGTGGAGGCTGGTTAGTGACCTAATTTTATACAATACGATATTTAACAACTAGTCAAATTCAGTACTTATTTCGAACTGTAAAAAACGACAGTTTTCTATGAATTTTGTACCAGATTGTGAATATGGTAGATGACTAATTTTACTCTTCTTCTTCTACTCCTAAACTTTGTTTCGTTTTATCTAAGTATCATTTTATTATACAACAAAATAAAAAAAATACGTATCTAATATTTTTTCATTACCTAACTTACGGACTAATTAGATTTTAACTTACATACCCTTTCATCATCCCTATTGTGACGTCACGTGTTTTTAGCGTCGAACAGCGTACTTATTACTTAAAAAAATGCTGGCAAAATATAAAATTAAGTTGATCATAATATCAATGAATGAGAGTAATGATTATTTTTTAGTATTTTATTATATTGAGCAGTCGAAATAATTTATTTTTATAAAGAAAAGTACCCAATAGTGTAGTTTCCTGGGTCAAAAATAAATGATTTCGATTTTGAAAAATAAATAACATTTTAATTCTTTGTAATCAGAGAAGATCTAATGACGATACACTTAATTTTCGATTTATTCTAGAAAATATTTCAGAAATTAGTATGCTATTTGACGCAAAAATTTGATGACGTCATAAGTTGGTATGTCATACACATCTTAACATTGGTAAGAGTATTGAATTTGACTAGTTGTTAGCTCCGTGTTGTACAGGAGGTATTAAATTGTCAAACACCAAGCGGTCACCGGTGACCGCAACCGGTTCTTTAATTGTGTCTATATTGACGGTGCTCAACGAGTTAAGTAAGAGTCTGAATAATTATGAACATAGCTAATATGATCCTTCTGTTTCGTTAGTAAAATATAATAATACAAGGTAATGACAACTAGAAAAGTATTGTGAGTGCTTCAAATGTTACACGAATTTATTCAAGATCTTATAATCTTAGGGTGCGTCCATATCTGGAGAAAACGCCGCGAAAGTGCCCGCGAGGTACGCGCGTGCAATCACGGTAACGGTTTGGTGCTCAACTCATATAAGGTTCATATAATAAATATATTTTAAATGCAATGGATAAGCAACGCGCGGGCGGCTCGCGAGCGCTTCGCAAGCGGCTCGTGAGCTGCGTATTCGCGGAGCATTCGCCACATGTGAAAGCCCCCTTACGCTGACCTACGTCTCACTTGTTTAATGGTATTAAAAAAAAACAATTACTTCTTGTAGCCAATCCATCATAATCTGGTATTAAGCCTTCTGTAACACCACACTGTAATGCAGCTATGAACTGGACAGCCGACGCAAAGAGGTCTGGAGCTACCCCAGCCGATGGAGTCGCACATGATGAACTGTAACTGAAAATAAAAAATAATTCGTGGATTGTTGGAACGCAAATCTACGTGAGACACAATGCGTTATCGATCGACAGGCAAGAAGTTAAAATAATTATTTTTAAACATTATATACTTATAAGATCCTTTAACATTCGAAGAATAAATGTAACTCGTGTTTTTCTACGGATGATACTTCATTTGGTTTAATTAAAGAAGATATTGCATTGCATTTTATTTTTTTATTTTAGTAAGTTATTAGTATAATGCGTCAAGCGTGTCTTTGCATTGTTCTTACATATGCGTACAGTATTGAAATATGTATCAGAGACATTGTAGAACATACTTTTTTTAAAAGAGTAACGAATGGAGTTTCTTGCTCGTTGTTCTCCATTCGAATCTACGTTTTGAATTGAGCACCTAGCTTCACTTATTTGTCGTAAAAATAAACGTCAGTGATGACGGACTGACTGACAAACTATTATTTATTTTGTATTTGTTGACGTTTCAAAAGTACCAAACTATGGTTTAATTGAAATAAATACTTTGACTTTCTCCATTATACTGATAATGCTGATATTCACAATGACATGAATGATTATCGATTTTTATTGATTAAAAAAAAACTTGAAATATTTTTCATAGGTTTACCATATTTTGTCTTACTAGATTCCAGAACGGTGTAAATTCTGATTCAGTTACTAATATTTAATAAAGATATCACTTACCAATCCATGATGGGAAAAAATGTTCTACTGATTGATAACTAATGAATATAATTTGATCTGGACGAGAAGACCTTGCTCAGTCCAATGAAGACGTATGAGGAAAACTTATTTTTATATAATTAGTCTCTTGAAGAAAATGCGACAAAATTGCAAATAATTTTCTGTTTTCATATTTGGTTAGCTGGTATTGAATCAGTCTTTATTTAGTGTTACATATTTTATGAAAATTTCGTTTCATGAATACTTTGTTGCAGTCTGTGGATTCGGTTGTATAAAACTTGTTTGAATACACGGTTGGTCCGGTGGCTGGGCAACTGGCTGCCGCGCAACGTGTCGCGGGTTCGATTCCCGCACGGAACAACTGTTTGTATGATCCACAGATTGTTTGTAAACGCACCCACGACACAGGAGAAAATCCTAGTGTGAGGCAACGTGTTTATTAAAAAACCTTTTTGGGAACTTATGGTCATCGCATACAGTCACGGCACCGCTTCAATCCTGCTATTATTGGACATTGAAAAAAAGGCGGAAATATTCTCTTTAAAATAAGGACAAATGGTTACTATAGACTAACAAGCTGAATACACTCACATTGATACGAGGGACATTAATCGCGTGACATGGCCCGTCATTACACTTCCCATATGATGGTGTCGCAAGTACAGAGACTGTTTCTGTCTACTTTTTCAACGTCTTTCCAGATTTCGTCTTTCAAGATTAAATATAAAAATAGGCTCACCCCCTATTAGATACATTTCGTTTTATAAGACTAAATATTATGATTTAGAATTAAATAAAACTAATGTGTTTGTTCTTAAAATGAAGATATTCTTCCATAAATTCTTTAACATAAAATTCTTATAATATTGACGTGTAAGGGACTCATAACATAAATAGTAAAAAGTGGGTGTTACATTGTCCAGCGGCATTGAGTACCGTAATGTGCCTCTGCCTACCCCTTCGGAGGTAAAAGGCTTAATGTTATGTTATCTTGACTTGTTTAAACTGTCAAACACCAAGCGGTCACCGGTGACCGCAACCTATTGTTCTATAATTGTGTCTACAAAGGCGATACTCGACGAGTTAAAGTGCATATCGCCTTAAATAAATTTTAAAGTATTCCAATTTAATTTCTAATCTTAAAAAAGATTACAAATATCTTGATAGATAATATTCTCGATTTTTTTATTTCAGAATCGTATATCTATGTCTGTATTTATTGATGTCCTTGAAAACAACCATACAAAGGTCGTTACTCCATCACATTGTTTGTTTTGACGTCAGTCAGTCGACGGTTCAGCGACATTGTTTATGGCTAGGATTGGCTTAGAAAACAAATGAAGACAAGGTATTAGATTAATAATTAATCCACATATACATAAAACTAGATAGTAAGATAAAGTCACGGCAAAAGTAGAATAAATATTAAAATTTTACCTTATACTTTACTATTATATAAAGGTAAACAGTCTTAGTTTATTTGAACGCACTAATCTCAGGAACGACTGGTCTGATTTGATAAATTATTTTTGTGTTGGATAGGCCAATAAAAATTGAGGAATCGTTATTAAACATTACATCACAATCATTAGGCGCCGAGCAGAGTGGGCGAAACCGCCAGATAGTAACTACAAATAATAAAACAAAATAATATTACGGGAAAAAAACGAATTAAATAAAAAGACTGCCTCGTGGCCGAGTGGGCGCAAGTGCGACTGCCGGGCAAGGGGTCTCGGGTTCGATACTCAGGTCGGGCAAAGCATTATTGGGTTTTGAAAAAAAAATGTAGCACGGAGTCTGGAATTGTGCCCGGTATATGGCAATTGGCTCACCTACTACATGGGACTCATAAGATGAATAGTGAAAAGGTGTTACATCGTAGTGGCATTAGGTGCCGTAATGTACACCTCTGCTTACAAAGTGAGACAAAAGGCTATACTATGGTATGAGCATGTCTGCTATGGTATGCTATGCTATGCTATGCTATACTAAGCTATTCTATGCTATGCTAGGTATGCTACGCTATTCTATGCCATGCTATGCTATGCCATGCCATGCTAAGCCATGCCATGCCATGCCATGCCATGCCATGCTAAGCCATGCCATGCCATGCCATGCCATGCCATGCCATGCTAAGCCATGCCATGCTATGCCATGCCATGCTATGCCATGCCATGCCATGCTATGCCATGCCATGCTATGCCATGCCATGCCATGCTATGCCATGCCATGCCATGCTATGCCATGACATGCTATGCCATGCCATGCCATGCCATGCCATGCCATGCCATGCCATGCCATGCCATGCCATGCCATGCCATGCCATGCTATGCCATGCCATGCCATGCTATGCCATGCCATGCTATGCCATGCCATGCTATGCCATATCATGCAATGCCATGCAATACCATGCTATGCCATGCCATGCCAAGCCATATTATGCCGTGCTATGCCATGCCATGCCATGTCATGCAATGCCATGCCATGCCGTGCTATGCCATGCCATGCCATGTCATACAATGCCATGCCGTGCTATACCACGCTAGGCTAGTCCATGCTACACTGTGCTTTGGCTATGCTATACTATGCTATGCTGTACTAGTCCATGCCATGCTATGCTATGTTATGTTATGCTAGTCTATGCCATGCCATGATATGTAATGTTGTGTCATGTCATGTCATGTCATACTTATATATTTATTTATTTATAATCACAACAGTGTACAGATATTGAGTTTACAATATGTTAAGTTACGCTATGTTTGTAGTATAGTGGCCTTTTGAAATTCTGTTGTTCAAATCTCCTATATTTGTAATCAGACATAAAATGAGGGCTATTACAAATATAGGTTTGAACAACAGAATTTCAGAAGGCCACTATAAAAATTAATTTTCACAGCTTTTTATTAAAATAGATTTTATTTAAAGTTATATAGGTCTTCAATTAATACCGTTACACTTAATATGGCAATAAATGAGAATGTACTTCAAAACATTACAGAGCATATCAAAACATCATAATATTTGATAAGTAGACACACACATTACAATTTGTTGTAGTCCTCCAGTATAAATTCTGCTCCTCTTTCTCCAACCATACCAGTTGGACCGTTAGTGTTACCACTGGTCAGTGTTGGCATTATGCTAGCGTCTATCACACGAAGGTTTTGAACTCCATGGACTTTCAATCGACTGTTGACTACTGATGTCTTTGGATCAGGTCCCATCTGACATGTTCCAACAGGGTGGTATACAGTTAGCACCATCTCTATACAAACACACTTCCAGTAGTCTCTACTGTCTAATTCATAAACATCGCATGGCGGCCATTCCATTCTCCCTAAAAAGGCATTTATTTCTCGAAACGCTGTGGTGTTCAACACTTTTGTAAGCATTTTTAGACCAGTTGCAGCTGATTCCAAATCTTCGGGATCAATAAAATAGTTTGGATTGATAACCGGATAATCACGTGGGTTATTGGTACATAAAGATATATTTCCTCTCGATTCTGGATGTAAAAGATTGAATAGGAACAAGTATAATGTATAATTTTTGTTTGTTTCAATCAATGGCTGGGCTAATTGGTTTTTGAACCTAAAACGAGTTGTCAGAGCCCTTTGAATATTTGAATTGTTTTTCCATAGCAGTGAGATATGACTTTGAAATTTTGGGTATGTTGCATTAATATCATCTGAATAAAATGCTAAAATGTCGGCTATACTGTTTTGTGCTAAGTATCCTGTGCGGTTATAAAGATATTGAATAGCTCCAAACTGTTGATCAGCTATATTTTGTGCTCCTGGTTGATCACCAAAGATTGTCACAGGAATTATGCAATGGTCTTGCAGATTTTGACCGACCATCGGGGAATCGACTAAAACTGGAATATTTTTAGATTTCAGATGTGATTTTGGACCTACTCCAGATAACATAAGCGTCTGAGGAGAATTTATAGCACCTGCACTTAGAATGACTTCTTTGGAGGCTAAGAACGTATATTTTTTTGAGTTCCGTTCTACTTCCACACCATAAGCAGTTTTGTTTGATCGTTTGATTAAAATTTTTGTTACTAAGCTATTTTTTATAATTTTTAAGTTTTTCCTTTCGAGTATTGGATCCAGATATGCTCTGCTATGACTTTGCCTCTTTCCAGATGCGGCGGTGGCTCTAATTACACCAGATCCTAGCGACTGTGCTACATTTAAGTCTGGTACATTTTTAAAACCATTTTCGTCCCAAGCGGACAAAATTCTTTGGGTAACTTGACCATAGGTAGTATTAAATGTGTTTATAACTAGAGGCCCATTATGTCCATAATGTTCTCTAATTTGTGGATTCTGCAATAATTTCATATCCTGAAAATTTTCTGCTTTTCTAAAGCATCGACGTACTTCTTCGACACTCCATTCAGGATTACCAAGGTCAACCCAATTTTGATAGTCTTGGTCATTTCCTTGTGCATATATCATAGCATTTAAATTACTGCTTCCTCCAATCATTTTTCCACGTGGCCAAAATATGGATCCATTTATATTAGCTCCGTTTGTTCTTCCATTATTTTTCGTTAAGTAAGACCAATCATATCTTGTTTGGAACATACCCTTGTCTAGTCCTGGAATCTGAAAAAGGTAAAGTTTAGAGCGATTTATATTTTGTAATTATGATAAATTCTGATAATTTGAAAAACATAACACGCCTTGGTGGCCATGAACCACATCAAGAAATCATTCTGTGAATGATGGTAATGGTAAGATACTTACAGCAGCCTCTACAGGTGCATCATCGCCAGCTTCTATTAGTAAAACATTCCATTCTGGTATTGCGCTCAGTCTGTGTGCTACCACGCTGCCAGCCGTTCCAGCTCCAATGACAATAAAGTGAAACTTTTCAAAATCTGCAAAACATAAACGAAGTGTTAATTGGTATATAGGTCCTCCTCGAACATGTACTTACAATTTATTCAGAAAAAACTTAACTAGCATTAGTATAAATATGTATACCAACACAATAATATTATCATGTTTTAAAATTCAAGGCACAAAGTTTTATTTTATTTATTGTTCATTGCTTATACCTAATAATCAGTGAGAACAACAGTAATTGTATGATAATAAAATGTTGTGTTGATGGATTTCTCGTGGGAAAGATATAATTTCCGCGACTAAGAAATTAACCTATACTATGTCACCTTAAAAGTTAAAAATCACACACATACACGTAATATCACGCCTTTTATCCCCGAAGGGTTAGGCAGAGGTGCTCATTACGGCACTTAATGCCACTGTACAATGTAACACCCATTTTTCACTATTTATGTTATGAGTCCCATGTAATTGATATTGGTGATATTGGATGGTGTATATTACCATATACCGAGCACAATTCCAGACTCCGTGCTACCAATGAATTTTTTTTAAAACCCAGTAAGAACTTTGCCCGACTCGGGAATTGAACCCAAGATCACTTGCCCGGCAGTAGCACTTGCGACCACTAGACTAATGAGGCAAGTCAAAACTATTCAAATAAATCACATCTATCTGTCATTTTGTTTTGACACGAAACTAACAATACTGACCACCAGTATGAATTTATTTTCCCATACATTGGTACATATCAAATGAAGGTGATGTGACCATATAAAAAATAATTAACATGTCAATGACCTTACGCTCAAAACGACATTATTACCTTTTAAATCAAATGGAACTTGTTTTTATAATAACTACCATGAGGCATACTAAATTAACTAAAATCGCGGGTTAATTTTTTCAGCATTTTCACGTGAGTAACCCGCGATTTTTAGTTAATTCAAATGGAAGTTATTACGTCAATACTACCATTATTTAAATACAATAAATTATTAAATCGATCATGCTTGATATTTTTGAGATAACTCTACGTATAATCGCACTACGAACGTATCACTTGGTAGAAGAAGGTAGCCTAATAGCCCTAATTGCGATTAAAATGTCAAAGATGAAAATGGTAATATTTTGTTAGTAAGTTATAAATAATTAATTACTTGGTATATCTGGATTCGGTACTGGATCCTCTGGCATCACACATTGTGCTGCAGCAAAGAACTGTATCGCCGACACGAAGGTTTGAGGAGCCGTGCCTGTTGTCGGCGTCGAACACGAGGCGTTAAAGCTTGAAAATAAACATACAAAAAACATTAATTTTCATATGAATTTCACAGTTAATAACACCAACCACTCCAACAGATTTTAGTTCATGCCTTCTAGAAATAAAAAATTGATAATTCGAAATATTGTTATGTTTCTTTCATTTCATGCAAATTAATAATTTTGAAATAACCACAACATGTCATTACACCTTTTACCCCAGAAAAGGGAGGGTAAATGTGTACTTACTTTACGTTCACTTATCGCCAGATATAGTTAACATATATATAACATTTGGTAACGTAACATAATTTTGAAACGTTGGACGTAATTTCAAACTTCACACAATAACAGATAATTTTGAAATTCCGAAAAACCCAAAAACTCTTTTTTGTATTCTGTTGATCAAACGTTGCTTGTTGGTTCCCAGAGACGTAGAGTAGAACAATCACAGTTACAAACAACGACTCATTAATTAAATTATTTTTTTTAATTAAATAATTATAATTGTCATGTCTACTTACCACTCCATCACGAACGAAAACTGATGTGAATTGAAGATGGTCGTTATTTTAACTCGTTTAATTAAAGCTTATACAAATGATAACCCTGACACTGCTAGCAAGACCGATTATACACCACGTACATTAAACAATTAATATTATCAGTCAAAATAATTGTTTCTGTATTCATGTTTTAGAAGGAAAAATCCTTGCTAAGGTATATTTAGGTATGTATGTATGAGATATTAATCTCTTCTGAGTGCCTCTTCATTGAAAAGGTCGTGTGCAAATACAATTAATTCGTATTTACCTTTTTAGAGTTTTCATTTTCATCTCAAATTAATTATACATATTTTTTTCGGTGTGATTTCAAACAAACAAAAATGTTATGTATGCTTCATGAATAACTTGGGCAGAAATATCAAGGAATTGCCTCGTTCGCAGGGTCGCAAGTGCGACTGCCGAGCGAAGGGGTTTCGGGTTCGATTCCTGGCTCGGGAAAAGTATTACTGGGTTGAAAAGAAAAGATACCAGTTGTAGCACAGAGTCTGAAATTGTGCCCGGTATATAGCAATAGGCTCACTCTATTACATGGGACTTGTAACGTAAATAGTGAAATGTGGGTGTTACATTGTCATTGTACAGTGGCATTAAATGCCGTAATGTGCACCCCTTCAAGGATAAAAGGCGTGATGTATAACATCATTTTTATCAGTTCCGATTTTCCAATAGTATTACGACTTTCACAAAAGGGATTGGGAAGGTTATTGATGGCTATTAAACAAGAATAATAAAACTTACAATTAAACTTATCTAGTACTTAAATATATCGGTAATGATGACATAGTACCAAACACTAAAATTCGTCTGTGAAAGTACGTAAATGGAACACATTAACGGGTTTTTATTATCCAATTGTTAATTATTTAACTACCAAGAGACAATAGAAGATCAAATAATTTACAATGAATTATATTACATTCTATGTTGGCACAGATGCCTGTCTGTTGTTCCTAGCCTAAGACAGAAGGTTATCGATTTTGTCAAATAATTAAAATTGAAAATTCATTTCTCTTTTGTATTATTTTTTTTTCATTATCGTTGTCAGATGACGTAACCTTAAAGAAAAATTTTCTTCCAGTGTTACTACAACAACAAAGGAAACATTTTGTTCTACTATCTAGTATAACAGTATAAAGTAGGAAGAAGATCTCACGACGATGAACTGGAAAATACTTAAATTGAAATAAAAGAGCTATGAATATAGCAAACGATGAAGAAGCAAATCGTTGGAAAGGTCAAAACCTATATACCTCTACAGGATTAGGGTTAAAGAAAGAAGTAGAAGTCGGAGTCGGAGTAAGAATTATTTTGGGTAGACTGATTCTCCGTATTGAACCTGACTTTTTGGTACCTACTTGGTTACAAAGCACAATGATTAGAGATTGTTAGTTCATTTACTAGAAAAAGTGTTAAAGAATATGAACAAATTACATTAAAAAAAAATGCAAAACCAATTCTATTTCTAACATTATGTTACTAGATTATGGTATTATATTGTATCTTTTTATGAATATTTGTTTTTATATTTTTTTAATTATTATTATACCTAAGCAGTAAAACTGTTTCTTGTTTGAGGACAATCCTCAATTATTTTTATTACCTTTTTTGATCATTACATTTTAACTTAATAATATTATTAATAGCATAACACTACGCGAATTTAACACAAAAATACACTTTATTTTTTCTACAATCCGTTGTAATCCTCCAATAACAATTCAGCTCCCCTTTCTGCTACCATTCCAGTAGCTCCATTGGTATTACCACTAATGGTAGTTGGCATTACACTAGCGTCTATCACACGAAGGTTCTGCACTCCGTGAACTCTCAACCGACTGTCTACTACTGACGTCTTTGGATCTGGTCCCATCTGACATGTTCCTACAGGATGATATATTGTAACTACCATCTCTATACAAATACACTTCCAGTAATCTCTACTGTCTAATTCATAGCTGTCACATGGTGGCCATTCGATTCTTCCCAAGAAGCCGTTAATTTCTTTGAAAGCTTTAGTGTTCACCACTTTGGTAAGCATTTTAATTCCTGTAGCAGCTGCTTCCAAATCTCTGGGATCGCTAAAGTAATTGGGGTTGATGATCGGGTAATCGTGTGGGTTGTTGGAACTTAAAGAAATATTGCCTCTAGAATAGGGATGCAGAAGGTTAAACAGATACAAATAAAGAGTGTAATTTTTGTTCAATTCAGTCATTTGATTTACTATTTCATTTTTATATCTGTAATTATTCTTAAGAAAACTATTCAAAGTTGGTTTATTTTGCTCTGTCAGTAAAATATGACTTTGAAATTTAGGATATGTGGCATCCAGGGAATCAGAAAAGAAAGCTGTAACATCACCTGCACTAAATTGTGCCAAATATCCAGTACGATTGTAAAGATACCGGATAGCATCGAATTGTTGATCGATTATATTAGTTTGTTTAGCTCCATCACCGTAAATACTTATTGGAACAACAAGATGATCTTGTAGATTTTGTCCTACCATGGGTGAGTCAACTATGACTGGGATCTCCTTGGAACTGAGGTGGTCTTTAGGCCCAATTCCTGATAACATTAATAGCTGTGGGGAGTTTATAGCTCCAGCACTAAGAATAACTTCATTTTCAGCAATAAATGTGTACGTGTTAGATTCATGCTCAACTTCTACTCCATATACTGTGTTGGTGGTGTTATTAATTAACAGTTTTGTAGCAAGGGAATTCTTCATAACTTTTAAATTTTTCCTATGAAGTATTGGAATCAAATAAGCTTTGCTATGACTTTCTCGTTCTCCGTTTGCAGCAGTACCGCTTATTATTCCTGATCCTAGCATGTTAGCGACATTTAAGTCCGGTACGTTTTTAATGCCAATTTCATGCCAAGCAGATAAGATTCTTGAAGTTTCTGTTCTTTGAGTACTATTAAATGTGTTTATTATTAGAGGGCCATTGACTCCATAGTTCTTTCTGATTCCAGGATTTTTTAACAAATGCATATTTTGATAACTTTCAGCTTTCTTAAAACATCGACGTACTTCTTTGACACTCCATTCAGGATTACCAAGGTCGACCCAATTTTGATAGTCTTGGTCGTTTCCTTGAACATAGATCATAGCATTTATGTTACTGCTTCCACCAATCACTTTCCCTCGTGGCCAGTTGATGGAACCATTTATATTTGCTCCATTTGTTATTCCATTATTATTGGTCAGGTAACCCCAGTCGTATTTGGTTTGTTGCATAGCTGTGTTAAAGGCTGGTATCTGAAATTTTATAGATAGGTAGTTTAATAAAGATTTAAATTGTAAAAAAAATTCTATCATAGAAATTATAATGGTTAGTGTAGCTTACATTAGCTTCGATTGGTGCGTCATCACCGGCTTCAATAAGCAAAATATTCCATTCTGGGATTGCACTCAACCTGTTTGCCAAAACGCTGCCAGCTGTTCCAGCACCAACAATTATAAAGTTAAATTTTTCAAAATCTGAAATCATATTATTTAATTAGAATTAAGTAATATAAACAATCAAATTGTTTGTAAAATATTAAGTAGATTATTCTTGTGTGTTCAATAAAATTAAAAAGAATAGTATTTACTTTGTATATCAGGATTTGGTACTGAGCCTTCTGCAAGGATGCATTGTGATGCTGCAAAAAACTGCAAGGCTGATGTAAAGAGCAGCGGACCACCCCCTGTTGTCGGAGCTGCACATGATGCGAAACTGAAAACACAAGAACGTAATATGTTACATAAAATAAATATTTTTAACAACTTTACGAAACCAACCGCTTTAGTCTTAACATTTGTAGTAGGTACAAAAATGAAATGAAACCAAGGAAATTTACATTTAATTTTGTGACTTCCGATTTACACAAGATTTACAAGGTTGATTTATTTAAATGAGTAAACACCGTCACAAAATGTGATTTTTCTACATTGTATTGTCATATAAAACAAGTCGTCTATGTGTTTAGACGTTTCAATGTACGTATATAATATTCCTGAGTAACTACTATTAAAAATCTAAATTAAATGTCTATGACTCAATCTTCATGTTTTATGTATCCTTTGAAGAGATCTAATTGCTGTAAACGTAATATATTTGGCCAACAGTCAAACGGACCTTTCGGTTTTAACCAGATAAATTTCAGTGAGTGAATTGCACGACTTGATTTCCCCTAGTCCATTCTACCATTGTACCATAAGACAATCGGCGAAGCGTCACCGATTCATGATGGATGTCTCACCCTGTGGTACTTGTGCGTATTGCTAAGGAGTGAAACTGTTTGCCAGAGTCTGTGTTTCTTAAAGGGTAAGCTGGGTGTCCTGAGTGAATAAGTTGCTTATGGGCTGACGTGCGCTATCATAGGCCGCATCATTGTTTACCAGGCGAGATAGTGATCTAACGTCAGCCCATGAAATATATGTAAAAAAATATATATGAAATATTATATATAAGAAAGCAATTTTATATCTATATTATAGTTGGATTCTCAATTAGGCAATCACTAGCACAATTATTACCAAAACCAAAATTTAAGATATTGTGACAGACATTTATTAAAATTCTACTTACCACTCCATTCTTTGCCGAAAATATCAGAGATTGTAGATACAATGGTGTGCTACCTGCTATTTATGCCTTTTAATGTGAACATAAATAAAATAATTTATGTCTTATCGCGAGGTTTCACTATTTGCTTATGTAACCACAAGAATATATTTTATCTTCAGCTACATCTAAAGAAGAATCTCTTCTATTTGGCCTCTGTTTAATGACACCATGATTATATTAGAACAGACATTTTTTTATAATGTTCATAAAGATAAAACTGTAAAAATAGGAGGTAAAGCGACGTCTGAAATAATGGAAAACGAAGGTATGATGTAGGAAGTTACAGTGGACCTAAACGCCTTGAGACAACGATAATTATAAAAGAGGTCAGAGAGTAAATAATAGAGTCTATAAGTATTAGCTTATGACAGGCCATTACTGGAGTATGGCCTTCATATTGCTGAGGGTCGACATCTCATATTTTACCGAGGCACCATACAGACGCTAGAGCCAGCATCAAATGGACCTCGAAGAGGTATCACTGGCCGCTGAGTGAGTCAGACACCATATAGTGCTATAGTAATTAGTGGTGGCTCGACTAGGGTGGATGCGTGACCTGTGACGTTATGTGGCGTGCGCCGCCGTATTAGTGTATACGCGCGCAGCCAAGCGGACACCAAATAAGTGAACAAGTGGTTGCGCTACTATAGTGTGCCAGTGAAATGTAACCCTAGGGACCCCCCTATCTGACCCTGAGTCGGAGCGGAGGGGACTGGGATGCCGTCTCCTCCTTCTGCGAAGCAGTTATGCTAACTAAGGAGGAGGCGGAGCGCGTGAGGGAAGGAACCTCCTCACGACCCAGCCGTCGCGAAAGACACTCCGGGCGGCGGGAATCGCGAGACGATCTCCGGCCACCGTAAGCACGGGCCTGCGGACGGCGAGCACGGGTGACTCGCCGCCCGACCAGAACCAGGACCGAGAGTACGGCACGTCGCGTTCCGCGCGCGTCTCAAGGAGCCATCAGACCACCACAGATGGGAGGATAGGAACGGGGTGGTTTTCAGTCAGTAAGAGTCTAACATTCCCTCTCGCACTGACCCGGGCGGGAGAAGGCATTGGACGACGATCCGCCATCAAAAAAAAAAAAAAAAAAAGGGACCCCATATATATAGGTCACTACACTAAATCACATTAAATATAATCACAAAAATAATGAAACAAAATTCACAGAACTATAATAATATGTTCAGCAATTCACTGATACAACATTATACTCACACTGGAAGAACAAGTAATATGATTCTCTTTTTAAACAGTGATGGCTGATGACTCAGGTTAATTTTAATCATCATAAACACCATGTAAACACTGTTTGCATGTTTAACCCTTAAAAAATTATACTACATGCCATGAATTTCAGTTACAGAAATGGAATAAAGTAATTGAAAGTGACAATAACAAAAATCGATTCAGGGAATTTATATTCATAACAAAAAAATTTTAACTTCCCCTAAATTTTGTAATTCTAATTTTACCTCCATCCTGAAGACAGTTCGATCTAATATTTGATGCACACTCTTAATCTTAGTTGCTCATCAAAATATTACAATCTTCTCTTTTCAAAACTACGTCCATCAAACAAATTGGTGGAACAGAGCTAATTAAAACCGATTACCATATAAAATATTGGACATTGCGCTCCTTATTTCAACAAACAAAATCCTCTTTCTCTCAGCCACTTAACTTTTTATAGAGTTATGATCTCGACACGTGTAGTAGTGGAAGCGAGAGCCAATACGCGCCTCATGTTGTTCCACCATTTGTCCCTAACCTAACGGGTAACCGGGGCTCCGGCTCGACGTGCAGAAGAAGGAACGGGGTGGTTTTTAGTCAGTAAGAGTCTGACACTCCCTCCCGCCTCACCCAGGCGGGAGCAGTCAATCGATGATTTTCCCCCCTTAAAAAAAAAACACGAGGTCTACTCGTTCAGTGAACTATCAACTGCCGAATTTATTTGGTCGGTACATATTAAGATTCTACACATCATCATTTTTTAATGTAAACTATAAACGTTCAAATTCATAAACTATAAACGAGCAGACGGATCACCTGATTATAAGCAATCGGCGTCGCTCATGGACACCTGGAACACCAGAGGCGTTATAAGTACGGTACCAGACTTTCGGGGATTAGGAATTTAAGGATTATTGTAGATTCAGGGATTGGGGATATTGGAAAATGGGATAATTGGGCCTCTGATAACCTCACTCATACGACGAAATGCAACGCAACGGTGTTTCACGTCGGTTTTCTGTAAGACTCCGGTCGAGCCGGCCCATTCGGCCTTCCCACACTTATTTTGTTTGATAAATAAAAAAATAGGAACAAAATATAACCTGTGTTTAAGGGTTAATCATAATTGACAGCATGATTTATGTGCAATTTTATCTTATGGCATGAAAACATTTGCACAACACAGCGTTGCTATTGATATCTAATTATGATATGGTGTTTGTTACTATTTTATCTTATAAATATTATACAAACAGGATTTAAATAAAGATGTTAATAATGATGTTTTGTTCAGAAAAATATTCTAACAATAAATGACACGCTATTTTTGTACCTTACAAATTGCGGAAATATTTATTCTTATTGTTTTTATAGTCAAAGTGTCTTCCTGTTTGTAGGTAGGTATATATTTACATTTTGACAACTGAAACCGTTAATATTTATTGCATACATTAAAATAATGTTAATATTATTAAAATACAGATAGTTACGGTAATAAAAACATAAAAACGGTCACATAGTAACAACATTTTGTAAAGTAATTTGACTATACTGTCATGTACTTACTTTCTGTAAGTATATTACGACTAAACAACGTACTTACAGTATTCAACAAAAAGGCATTTGGATAACAAATGCATCTCAAACGTAGTGAAATAATGGGATTTTCAGATTTTTCCGGGATTCATCACTGTGACGCGAATTATCATAATGGCGGACTGCGAACATGACGAGGGACAAACTCGTCCTTTTGTCAAGTACCTACTGAACGCGCATAAACTACGTAATGTGTACATGACTAAATGAGAAACAGTGTAGGCATTCATTACATGTATTTCCGAATATCGTTCAGATATAATATTTTAACAACGACGTGATGTAGGTACCCTAAGCCACGTTGGTGACGATTTAGGGGTGAGTATATTTTCTTAATATGTCATGATTTCCAAGGAAGGAAAAGGTTTTAAATATTTATTACCAGTTGCGGGTAGTCAAATCTGAAAATAATCAGTAAAAAGGCCAAAGTAATTACAGGTACCTACGGAAAAAGTAAAATACAAAATATCCGATTAACTACTACTAGAAAACATACTATAGCTAACCTTAATTAAAGAAACACTGAAAAATCAAATACATTGGAAAATCCTAGAAAATATCGCTCCAAATTCACGAAAAATGCATTAAACTGTGGAGGTTTTGTTAATAGCAAAGCACACTAACCTCCACACACTAATGATCTGGTATCCTCTTTATAACTCACCTTAGCCCGTACGCGATCACATTTGCCTGCCTCAAATGGCTGTAAGAAGCCACGCTCCACTTCCCCTGTTAGGGCTCTCACACACGAACTAAATTTAAGTTGATTTTTCATGTAAAAAGGAATCATTTCCTTTTGAAAACGGTCTGCAACGCAAGTAGAATAAATGAGGTATCAGTGACATAATAAATACCATCCTTTTAGGAATAAATTGTATTATACTAAGACTACGTGCTTTTCTTGCGCTTATCATCTGATCATGAGAATTAGGAAGAACCAACAGTATCGTAGATTGTTGACCTAAGAATCAGAAAGACTCGAAATGTATCGCTATAGGTGACCAGAGAAGCATTGAAACCAAATGAGTACCAAAAACGACATATTGTTTTTGCCTCATACATTCAAACTTTCTCTTCTCGATCGTTTGCTTCATTACTGATAATCGTGTTCTTGAAAGACTTTCATTGCTTTAAGTGTTATTTCCCCCATCTTGTCCTGTTTTCGGTTTCTCAGGAATTTTATAACAGAGGGTAGAGTATGATTGGTACATACCTAGGTCACACCATCGGCTAGGTGATCGGACACGTGGTCATTTACCATCTAAGTTTTATTTGAGTGTTATAATGTGATATCGAGTGTAAAAATATACAGCAATGTGACAAAATCAGCTAGTGTGTGTTAGTCCTAAAAAGGAAGGCAAACTAATTTGTTACAAGTCGGCATTTTTAAATGGAGCCGACAGTTGGGAGGCGGCCCTGAATACTAACGCGCGTTCCAACAATAAAATGCTGTACTCTTTTATTTTGTTTGTTTGTTTTTAGTTTAGAAGGCGACTGCTTTAATTCTCTTGATGTCTTCAAGTTGATTTGTAAAAAATAGTAATAAGTAACGCTGTAAAATTACATTACTTTCGCCGTATATAAAAATCAACTAGCTACTTCAGCGCTCTGCTTGCCCCCTATTGATTGTAGCGTAATGTTTTCCTTCTTCAATGAATGGGCTATCCAGCACAAAAAAATGTAAGTGTGGGAGAGCCATGCCTCGGCACGAATGGGCCGGCTCGACCGGAGTGATACCACGGCCTCACAGAAAACCGACGTGAACCAACGCTTGCGTTATGTTTCGTCATGTGAGTGAGGTTACCGGAGGCCCAATTACCCTTCCCTTCCCCAATCCCCCCAATTCCTAAATCCCATACGATCCTCATACTCTTAATCCCCAAAAGACCGGTAACACACTTGTAACGCCTCTGGTGTTCCAGGTGTCCATGGGCGACGCCGATTGCTTACCATCAGGTGATCCGTCTACTCGGTTACCGGCTAATGCCGCAAAAAAAAATATATTTTTCAAATCGGGCCAGTCCCTCCTGACACTAGCGCGTTCATACAAACAAACGTATAAAGTAATATAGTATGAGATAATTATAAGGTAAGATAAAACATTAGACAAATAAAATATAAAATCTCCAGCACACGGTAAAACTTTATTTACATAGAGAGCAAAATTGTATTAATTCTATGGTATTTTAATATAGGTATTTGGTGCTTTCAGGCTACAATTGCGAAAGCGTTGTAATTAATAATAATGAAAGTTTTCAATAACAAGTATGTGCCTATGTAATATTTTGAAACTGATCAACGTAAACCACACAAAATAGATACTAATTTGAAAGCATGAACATAGAAATAT